AAAAAAAGGTGAATTTATCACACAATAAATATGTATGTATATACACTTTCTTTAACATACAGTCAGCGTCGAAAATATGAGACATCAGGGCCCAGCAAACTTTAGGAGTCATAAATGAGTCTTTATGGAGTCCTATTTCGGAGCCTTTACGCGCATAATGAGCTCATTTAAAAGTCCGATATGAGAGTGTTAAAATTCATACATCAAATGAGCCTCAATATGAGTCATATTGGGCTCTTATTGGCCTCACATACGGCTCATTTTGGACTCTTTTAAACCAATTTTTGGCCTCATATATGAATTATATCAGACTCTTTTTGAGGCTCTTATCGGCCTCATAAATTACTACATTCCGGCTCTTATTTTAGGTTGTTCTTTGAGTCTTATTGAACGCACTATATTTGTAAAGGCATTCAGCAAAAATTGTTTTTTAAATAACATACATATTTACGTGCATATACACCTTCCAACATTCATTTAATATCAGCAGCTGCAGCTAAATTTTGTAAATTTTTTGTTTTCTAATTATTTTCAATCTCTGTATAAACAAGTTTAGATATAAATTTCAAATCTTTATTGTTTTTATATTGGTGCAAGGTGCTGGCTCATAACTTGGATCATATATGAATCCTAAAAGATTCATATAAGAGTAAAACATTTTTTGTTTTTGAAACTCATATTTCTTATCTACCTAGGACTCCTTTCGGACTCATACATTCTGAACGCTCAGAATATGTTTGGCGGGCGGTATGCATATCTTGACACCGACTGTATATATGTACGAATATTTGTTAGCATTTAATATTTATTTGTTAAGATTTGAACACATAAACACAACGATTTTTAGTCCAGTAAATTGAATTAATGCACATGTGGAAGTTTATTATTTTCTTCCATACAAAACAAATTTTCGAACATAGTAACTTCGTATAGAGCAAATGCATGCCACGCATTTTTACATATAAAGACTCAAAAATCACCGCGAAATATAGTGATTTATATACATACATATCGTCGATTAAAGTACAAAACCGCGTATCGTCATTCTGCAAAACCGCGTAACTGACATTTGCTGCCAAAAATTGGATTTGCTCACACAAGCTCTTGGCTCAATCCTTATCCATTCGTCCTGAAATATACTAGCCATAAATGCGATTGCTCTATAAAAAAGCGAACCATTTTGAAATATAAGTGTTTTCACGCTCTAGAAAATAATTTCTACAACTTCACATTCGCGGTTTTGCATTTTGTTGATACGCGGTTTTGTACCTTAAACGACGATGTATGTATATATATTGTGCTAACAACACGTCTCTATTTTCTACTAAATGTGTCTTAACATCTGTCAAATTTCTGTTTTAACTTTGTTCCGTTTTCTAAGGTGGGCAACTTGCTGTCTCAACATATCACTTTCAAAATAGCATCAAGCCAATCAGTTCGATCTGTTTCCAATGTAGATCAAGGACGTGAACCGGATGAAAAATTTGGTCGGTTCGGTTCAGTGGTTCGAACCGGTTTTGCACTTTTGTATTGGTTCATCAAAGCGGTTTTTTTGGTCTTTGCAACGGGGTTTCGGTTCGGTTCAACGGTTCGAAAAACAAAAACATAACGCGCAAGTTTAACTGTCCAGTGTAAAGTGCAACAACGCGCAATGTTAAGGGTCAAGTGTCTGTCAAACGAGATGGGTTGCCTTTACATTTGATATTGTCACATGGTAAACAAACATGTTAGGTATTACCATGAAAAAAGTGGGTACATTTATCTATTGAAAATTGGTTGAAACGAACCTTTAAACCTTTATAAACAAAAAATACCAAACGGTTTCTTAATTTTATGTAACTATCATTTTAATGAATGTGACTGGTGGGATACTGAAAATAAATTTATTTTACCCTTGTACACTCAAGGATGAATTTTAGCCAATACACGACAATTTCACGAACGATGTTTTTGTGTTGTAAAATATGAATTATACGCTTTCTTTTTCAATAAAAATTAGGTTTATATAATCTTCATAGAAACATTAACAAATATTTAAAGTTGTGACTGGTGGGGGGACTTCTCCTTGTGACTGGTGTAAAGTAATTAT